ACTTAAAAACTTTCTAACCTGTTTCATTTTTTCAAAACTGAACCAGTATCCTGTATATAACTCACACTCAAATGATTCAACAAAGATGCTGCTATCTTTATATTCTCTGCTTTTTTGATTTTAAGGCTTAATCTCTGATGAATGCATCTATTTCATAGTTGACTTCTTGGAAAAGAAATAAGGTTGAGGTCTTAACCGACACCTATCAACATTATTTGAAGGCTAAAGTTTTCATTTTATTTATGTAAAACAAATGTATTGAGGAAACACTAGTTTACATCACTGTTTGTATTTTGAAAGTATAGGACCACCCCTTCCAGTGACGTTAACAATAGTGCACCACCACTAAACACCCAGAGTCCATTGTGCTCCCTGAGCACTCTGAGCTTGTCCCTTCCTTTACCCTCCCTCTCTGAATGCCTCAGTTCTATAGAAAGCTATATATTTTTTTTAATGACAAGGTAACACATAAGGAGATACAAATAAACTAATGGAAGAAAAAGAAGAGTGTGTAAACAGACTCACATATACGAGGGACCTGATTGACAATGCAGTGGAAAAGAGGGTGCTGGACCAGTTAGATATCTTTACAGAAAGAATGAACTGTGACCTTCATGTCATCAAGTAGGAAAAACAATTCCAGTTGGATTGTACATCTGAGTAAAAATTAAAACAGAGGGAAAAATATCATGGAGCCTCTGGAATATATTATGGAACAATCTACTCAAGATCCTCAAACAGGGCACAAATGTACTATCTTTAAAGGAAAAGACTGTTGAACTGGATTTCATTAAGACTGGATTTCATTGGGAAAGAAATTCATTAAGAACTGGATTTCAGGGCCTCCCTGGTGGCGCAGCGGTTGAGCGCTGGGTTGCGAAGATGCCTGCAGCCTCTGCAGCGCTGGTTCGATCCCCGGCTGCTGGGCGAGGGTCCCACATAGCATGCAGACCTCTCCCGCTGCCTGCTGCTCCTCTCAGCAGTGTACTTCATCAGTCTGCCTGTTCTGCTCCCCGCTCTGGCTCTGGTGAATTCTCTCACCCTCCTGTGCTTCTGACTGTACCCAGTGCTTATATAAATAAATAAACAAATCTTTAAAAAAAAAAAAAAGAACTGGATTTCATTAGGAATTTTTGTGTTAAAATGTAAAAATGCAGGTCTCCCCAGTCGTGCAAGGGGTTAAGCACAGCACTGTGAAGCTGTGCGCAGCTTCTGCAGCACAAGTTCAACTCCCAGCCAGCCAGGGAGCAACCCACATGGTGCAGCAGACCTCTCCTGTCTTGCCCACTGCTCTCCTCAGCAGTGTATTTCAGTCAGTCTGCCTGTTCTGCCCCCTGCTCTGTCTCTGGTGAACCTTCTCACCTCCCGCACCTCTGGCCTGTACCCCAGTTATTGTATGCATGAATAAATAAATCTTTAAAAAACTGTGAAAATATAACACAGAATATAAGAATATATTTATGATACATATACATATGATGAGACTCAACAAAAACAAACATCTGTAAAACATCTGTTTTTAAATATATAAAGACATCATAAGAACAGACAATCTTACAGAAAATTCATGAAGCTGAATAGGTACATCATAAATTAAAGTCTGTGAACAATAAGTATATAAAAATGACAATATCATTAGTCATCAGAGAAATAGAAAACAATCATTAGTCACCAGAGAAACAGAAATAAATAATACTATAACCAGTATTTGGATGTGGAGTAACTGCTTGGTTTTAGTTAGTGATGTTGGGAGTATAAGTTGGTAAAAATACTTTGGCAAACTGTTTGGAAATAAAGATAAACATCAACATACCTTATAAATTAAGCAATTCTGATACTAGATATAGCTCAATAAAAATGCATAAATATGGGTCACCAAAAAAAAATGAACACGATGTTTATCTGAAAAAAAGAATATTTGCTAGACATTATTTGTAATAGCACCAAAAACTGGAAATACACAAATTTCTGTTAATAATAGTAAATATATAAATATGATGATAGAGTGAATATAAATGCAATGGAATATTATACAGCTACATGTAACTAGTAAGGGTGACTCTAACAAATACTATGTTGAATAATAAGGTCTAGATACAAAAGAACATATACTGTATTTTTCAATTTATATAATATTCAAAAAGGTAGCCAATCTAATCTATGGTGGTAGACTTAAAATGCTGCCTACCTTGGGGCAGGCTAATGCATAAGATGGGGCATGAGGTAGGCTTCTGAAAAGCAGGTAATATTTCACGTTTTAATTTGGGTGATGTTTATATTAGCATATTGCTTAATGATAATTCTATGTCGGTGTTTATATATTTTTCTGTATTAATATTTTATTTTAATAAAAATTGTATAGAAACAAATAGTTAAAACAGAATGGAGTCAATCATGGTTCCTTGGAACTGGGGCAGGCTGAACTTACCTTACTATACTTTCATTCATTTAATATAGAAAATTAAGAATAAAATCAGGGTTCTTCCCAAATAGCCAAAGCTCTCCTAAAAAAAAAAAAAAAAAGGAAAGAAATGGAGGTATCATACTCCCAGACTTCAAGCTATACTACAAAGCCATAATAATCAAAACTGCATGGTATTGGAACAAGAAAAGACACACGGACCAATGGAACTGATTAGAAAATCCAGAAATAAACCCACAGATTTACTGGAAACTAATCTTTGACAAAGGAGCAAAGAATATGCAATGGAACAAAGAAAGTTTGTTCAATAAATGGTGCTGGGAAAACTGGGTCACTACATGCAAAAAAATGAAGCTTGACTACTACCTCACACCATACACAAAAACCAACTCAAAATGGATTAAAGAACTAGACATAAGACCTGAAACCATAAAATATATAGAAGGAAATATAGGTGAAACACTACATGACATACACCTCAAAAACATCTGTAAAGACACATTATCCAAAGCAGTGATAGTGAACGCAAAGATAAACAGCTGGGACTACATCAAATTAAAGAGCTTCTGCACAGCAAAAGAGACAATAACCAAAACAAAGAAAAACCCCACCGATTAGGAGAAAATTTTTGTATACAACACTAATGATAAAGGACTGATCACAAAAATCTTCAAAGAGCTGATGAGACTCAACAAAGTAAATAATCCAGTCAAAAATGGGCAGATGATGGGCCTCCCTGGTGGCCCAGGCGGTTGAGTGCCGCACTGTGAAGCTGTCCGCAGCCTGTGCAGAGCTGGTTTGATCCTGGCGGGCCCACGAGGGTCCCACATGGTGGGGCAGACCTCTCCTCTCTCCCCTGCTGCTCCCCTCAGCAGTGTATTTCGTCAGTCTGCCTGTTCTGTTCCCCTCTCTGTCTCTGGTGAATCCTCTCACCCTCCTGCGCTTCTGGTCTGTACCCCAGTTAGTGTATAAAAAATAAATAAATAAATCTTAAAAAAAAAAAAAAGCTAAAAAGAAACTTCTCCAAGGAGGAAATGCAAATGGCCAACAGACCTATGAAAAAATGTTCAACATCACTTGTAATCAGGGAAATGCAAATGAAAACTACAATGAGATACCATCTTACACCAGTGAGAATGGCACATATTAAAAAAACTAGCAACAATGAATGTTGGCGAGGTTGTGGAGAAAAAGGAACTCTCCTGCACTGCTGGTGGGACAGCAAACTGGTCCAACCACTATGGAAAGCTGTGTGGAGATTTCTCAACCTGCTAAAGATGGGTCTACCATATGATCCAGCAATCCCACTCCTGGGTCTTTATCCAAAGGACACAGAAACACTAATTCAAAAGGGCACCTGCCCCTCTATGTTTATAGCAGCACTATTTACAATAGCTAAGCTTTGGAAACAACCCAAATGCCCAAAAATAGATGACTGGATCAAGAAGATGTGGTACATATACACAATGGAATATTACTCAGCAATCAAAAAAGATAAACTCATGCAATTTGCGGCAACATGGATGGAGCTGGAAGGGATTATGCTCAGTGAAATAAGTCAGAAAGAAAAAGAAAAATACCGGATGGTCTCACTCACAGCAGGAATTTAGAAAACCTAAATAAGGGGCCAGGAAAAATACTAATTATAATAAAGTAAAAATCAAAATCAACAAGCAATCATAAACTAGAGACACAATGGAGGGGAGGAATAGGGAGAAAGGAGTAGGATGAAAACAAGGGGGGTGGAAATTGTATGGGGACTATAACCATGACGAAAATGAACACATTGTGCAAAAATAAAAAATTATGTAAAAATATATAAAAAAACAAAAAAATCAGGGTTATGTTTGCAGGGAAGAAGGAGAGAACGGCTGTCAAGTAAACAGCAAATAATGACTGATAAAGCTGTTATTTTAAAAGTAAATAATTTCCATTTTCATTGCTCTGGATGAATATGCACTATGAATTTCAAAGTAAGAAAGATAAGAGACTAATATTCTCATGCTATTAAAAATACCCTTCCTGTATATATACTGTGTTCCCAAAGGCAGGTGGGTGGGATAAATGAGGGGGGAGCAGAGTTTCTTAGGGTTTTTTCCTTTTTGTATTATTGCGCTAACTGGAAGAAGCCTATGCACCTTTGTATTTTTGGAAGTAGAATTTTCCAGGAAGTTTAAATTTAAAAAGGTCAATGACCTAGTACATGAGAAGCTAAGCCACTAGGAATGGGTGAATGAAATATTAATCATTATAGAGTGCATGGCTGTGGAACAGGAATACTTCATAAAGCAGAGTGAGTAGAGAGAGGAATAGTCTTAAGGGCCTGGTGGCAAAATACTCCTTTTTGTTCTTGGCATCTCATTAAGAAAAGCACTGCTTTAGCTGATTGTCCCCTATAAGCCATAGAACTAGATGGCAGGCTCTTTCTAAGTGCTTTTGTTATGTGAGAACCATTTCTAGAGTATAGTTTCAAAATGATTAGCACAAAGACTCTTGAGAAGCAGAATTCTCAGTTGGATTCAATTTCTTTCCGTGTCTTGGGTAGTAAAATCTTGTGGTGAAGAGGAAAGTGGGAAGAAGTTCAATTTTGTCTGGCGACACCCACACCTGCCGGAAGCATTTGTTTCCTGGGAGGAGAAAAGACACCACCACTCTGAACAAAATCAGTTTTCTGCAATCTGGTTCACAGATGTGAAGAACAGGGCATTCACAGAAAGCTTTTTCATTAGCTAGCTGCTATCATTAGCATAATACAATCTAATAAATGCTAATTAATATTGACATGACAGCATCCAATTCACTTTCATACTTTTTCTCATTTATTGAGGTTATTTTAACTTTTTCTATGGTATGAAACAAGTTAAATTGTTAAAGAGCAAGTTAAATAGCAGTAACCAAATTAAATTGGATTGCCCTGGGTTCACTAGTGGAGCTACTCATTTTTGCGTTCTTCTTGACTAGGATTTTATATTAAGCAATGCATAAAACAGGTATGCAAATGTAATTCTTTTTAATGAGTGTTTTTTTTATTATTTTTATATATTTATTTTATTTATTTATACAAGCACTGGGTACAGTCAGAAGCATGGGAGGGTGAGAGAATTCACCAGAGCCAGAGCGGGGAGCAGAACAGGCAGAAGGATCGAGGTACACTGCTGAGGGGAGCAGCAGGCAGCAGGAGAGTTCTGCGCGCCATGTGGGACCCTCCTCCGGTAGCCGGCGAGCAGCTGGGGATCGAACCGGCACTGCAGACGCTGAGGGCAGCTTCACAACCCAGCGCTCAACCGTTGCGCCACCAGGGAGGCCCCAAATGTAATTCTTCATTGTCAAACTTGTGTGTATCTCCTAAGAATGTTTTTATTTTTTAATTTTTTAAGTTTTTTAAAAATTATTAAAAAAATATTTTATTTATTTATACAAGAGCTGGGGTACAGGCCAGAGGTGCAGGAGGGTGAGAGGATTCACCAGAGACAGAGCAGGGAGCAGAACAGGCAGACGGACCAAAAGCACTGCTGACGGGAGCAGCGGGCGAGACAGGAGAGGTCTGCTGCGCCATGTGGGTATCTCCCTGGCTGGCCGGGAATCGAACCCGTGCTGCAGAGGCTGTGGACAGCTTCACAGTGCCAAGCTCAACCTGCTTCGCCACCGGGGAGGCCCTCTAAGAATGTTTTTAAAGGAAACACTTCTGGAATTGTAGGCTTAATATTCCTTGAATTAGAAGTAGGTCCTTTTTTCAAGTTGGTAGGTAATATTGATAAGAATCCAGTTAAGGTCAGTTATTATTTCACTCAAAATTAGAGTCTGCAAGCATGCAGATTGGGGGGTACATCAGGACCCCCAAACTTGTATGACTTAAAGGGACCTGGCCATTTGCGTGCACAAAGACAAAACATATTTAGTGTGAAAGAACATTAATAGAATTAGGGTACATAGAGAGAAAAGAATTTTTCAATAATTTTTCAAAATTTTTCAAAAATATTTTTCAATATTTTTCCAATAACTCACCCAAAGTGAGCCATCCCCTCATGGGTAAATGCCCAGCCAAAGAGGGTTGACCCAAAGCAAGGCCGCTGAGGCCCAAAAACTTGCCGCAGGTCTAAGGCAATTCCTGGCAGGGAACCATAGGAAAGGGGCAGAAGAGGGCTGGCAATTCTGGGATGAAAGCAACGAAGTCAAAGTGCAAATCAAGCTAAAGGCTGCCATACTCAGCTTCCCCATGTCTCTCACCGATGTGTCTCTTTCCAGTGTCTCTACGTGTCTTAGCTCCTCATGTTTCCTTCCAGGACCGCCAAGTGCCTGGTGTGCACAAGTGCTTCTCCACATGTCCACCTCTTGTCTTTCCCGTGTGTGTCTCTTCCCCTGTTCTCTCCCTATCTCCTTTTGCCTCTCTGTTCTATGGCTTTACCTGGACACTTAGCTCCACCACTTATTAGGTGAGGCAGAAGAGATGCATGGAGATATTTAGATTAAGATATTCAAGTGGGCCTCCCTGGTGGCACAATTAGTTACGTTTCAGCACCATGAAGCAATAGGCAGCTTCTGCAGCACATTTCGATCACTAGTCAGGGAGCAAGCCGCATGGCACAGCAGACTTCTCCTAACTCACCCACTACTCCCCTCAGCGTGTATTTCAGTCCTTCTGCCTGTTCTGTTCCCCACTCTGTCTCTGGTGAATCCTCTCACCCCATCCTGCACCTCTGGCCTACACCCCAGTTCTTGTACACATAAATAAATAAAACAAACAAACAAAAAAAAGATATTCAAGTAAGACTTGGACTTGAGTTTGGTTTTAATCTTCAAATTTCAGAATATTTTCCATTGTTACTAGTTTTTGCTATTAGTTTTTTTTACTTTTTATTTATTTATTTTTTAAAGACTTATTTATTTATGCATACAAGAACTGGGGTACAGGCCAGAGTTGTGGAGGGTGAGAGGATTCACCAGAGACAGAGTGGGGAACAGAACAGCAGATTGACTGAAACACACTGCTGAGGGGAGCAGTGGGCGAGACAGGAGAGGTCTGCTGTGCCATGTGGGTACCTCCCTGGCCAGGGATCAAACTCTTGCTGCAGTGGCTATGGATAGCTTCATCAGTTGCGTCTTAACCCCTTGTGCCACCAGGGAGGCCCTTAAGTTTCTACTTTTTAGTGGTTAAACTATGATAAACATAGCAGTTAAAATATATAATGAAAAACATCTTTGTTCCACAGATGTTCCCTTATTCTCCTCCCAAAGGCATCCTCTGACACTAATTTCAAGTACATTCTTTCAGAAAAATTCTATGCATATAAAGTACTCATATCCCTCTTCTCCTAAAAGCCCACAAATGACAGCATATTAGACACACTTGTTCTGTCCCTTCCTATTTTGCTTAATAATATATCTTAAAGATGATCTGATATTAACACAGTGTTTGCATTCTTTATAGTTGCCTAGGATTCAATAATCTCTTTAAATAAAACTCTCAATTATTCCTCAAGGATTTATGATTTTATTTATATGAAAAGTCAACAATAGATAAAAACACCAACATTTTGTTCTTTTGAACAATGCAGCAATTAAAAAAAATCACACATATGTCATTCTGCACGTATATGATTATATCTTTTAAATTACCAGAAGTGAAAGTTTTCACTTTTAATTTTGGTTTATAGGAATTGTTCTTGCTTGTCAAATTTCATACTTATTATTACTATTTAAATATGGAAGTTGAAAAGGAGCAGAAAATAGTCCATCACACAGATTCAATCACTGGTAATATTTCAGTCTGTTTCTTTCCAATCTTGTTTCTTTTTTATGGGTTTTGGAATAAAATAGTCCAAATCTTTGCCCTGTTGATGTTTAGGTGTATGACTTTAGGGAAATTATTTATGATCTCCAATCCTTAGTTTCCTCATCTATAAAAAGGGGAGTATCTACCTGTATTTGTTATGTGAGTAGGTGGGAACACAGGAAATGACAGTATATTAATTTATTATTTTGTATATCATGAAGTTCATACATTTTTTAAAATAAAGAAACCTGCTAGTTGGCTTCAATTTTTTATACCATGTTTTAAAAATATTATTCAAGATTATTTTAACAGCTACAAAATATTTCTTACTTATTTCACCATTCCTCTATTGTTAAGCATTTAATTTATTTCATTTTTTGTTATAAATAATGTAGTAAATATTGTGAATATAACTTTATCTGCACATCTTAAAATTTTCCCAACATAAATCTTTAGCAGTAAAGGTGGAAGTGCATAGTAGTCTCTTTTAGAAACTCATATTTACTAAGGTATAATTTATAATAGTATAAAATTCACAATTTTTTGTATTGAGTTTTAAAATTCCTGATAAACATTCACAACCATGAACCCACCACCATAATCAAGACATACAGAATATCCAGCACTAGGCAATAACTAATCTAACTTTCTTTCTCTGTGGATTTGTCTATTCTCACTCTTTACATAAATAGAATCCTAAAATATGTGGTCTTTTGTGACTGGCTTTTTTTACTTAGCACAAAATTATCAAGATCATCCATATTACATATATCAGTATTTTTCACACACTTCGTTGTAAAGAGATGCTGTATTTTATTATTCCATCAGTTGATGGACACTGGATTGTTCGCACAGTTTGGTTATTATGAGTAACACTGCTATGAATGTTCATGTACAGGTTTTTTTTTGGGGGGGTATGAAGAGACATGATGTCATTGGTTTTGATTGTATAACTAAGAGTAAAATCTCTAGGCCATATAGTAATTTATGTTTAACATTTTAAGGAACTACCAAACTGTTTTTGAAGGCTGCTGAACATTCTCACAAGCAATGTATGAGGGTTCCATTCTTTCTATATCCTTGCTAACATTTGCTATTACCCATCTTTTTATTTATTAATATTATTATTATTATTGTCATCCAAATTGTATCTCACTGTGGTTTTAATTTGTGTTTCTCCAATGACTATGACTGAAGTTACAGGTCTCCCAAGAAACAACCAATAGGATATTGCTATATCTATATATCTACCTATTTATCTCCCTCCCTTCTTATCTATCATCTATCCATATGTCTATCTATCTATCTATCTATCTATCTATCTATCTATCTATCTATCTATCTAAAGATTTTAAAGAATTGGCATACATGATTGTGGGCTGGCAAGTCTGAAATCACCAAGGCAAACTGGGCGGGCTTCAACAGCCTGAAAAAGTTGACACTGCAGACCTGAGTGCAAAGGCAGTCCGAAGGCAGGATTATTTGCCCCTCAAAGACCTCAGTTTTTTCTCTTAAGGCTTTCACTGACTGGGTGAAGTCCACCCACATTGGGAGAATAATTGGCTTTACTCAAGGCCTTTTGATTTATAAGCTAGTCATGTCTCAAAAAATACACTCATAGCAACTTCAAGACTGCTATTTGTCTACAAACAGGGTACTACGTCTTGCCAAGTTGACATATAAAAATAAATACCACAGCCCACCACTTGTCAACATGGCACCCATACTTATTTCTCTAAAGCATTCATCATCTCCAAGTAAAGACAGAGACAGGATCACTCAATCAATTCCCAGTGAACCAGTTTGTAGACTCATAAAACCTAGACTGAAGGATCACTTTGAGGAAGACTCCATTACACTGCCAAATTTTATACTGTTAATCTTTAAGTTATTCTTTCCCCAAAGAGACTTGTTACCTTTTGCCAAGGTGACTGTGCACAGGGGAAAAGGAAATCATCAGAATTTTCAGGGATTATTGAGAACAGGCTCTGATCTGACACTAGTTCCAGGAGACCCAAAATATCAGTGTGATCCACCAATCAGAGGTTGAGTGACCATCCGATGGCTTTTCCCCAACTCCAGAATGCATAATTGCAATGACATTTCAACAAGTTTTACAATTCCCACTTTGGTCTCCTGAGCTGTGAAATGAGGGCAATATAGTAGGAAAAGACAAGTTGAAACTACTAGAAATGTCTCTACTTAGGAAAATAGTAAACTAAAAGCTACATACCTGGAAGAAATATTGTAGAGATTTGTGCCATTATCAAGGATTTGAAGGATGCAGAGGTAGAGATTCTCACCATACCCCACTCAACTCATATTTTCGGCCTGTGCAAGAAACAGATGGATCTTGGAGAATGGCAGTGGATTATTACAAGCTTAACCAGGCATCAACTTTAATTGCAGCTGCAGTACCAGTTGCAACTGAACACTTAATCATGGGCCACTAAGTGATCTTGTGACCTGCACTACCCATCATGAACTGGGCATTGTTTGAACAACCAAGCCATAAAGCAAGGTGTGCAAAGCAGCACCACGTCACCAACTTGAAATGGTCTCGAGTTGAGATTGGTCTCAAGCAGTTCTTGAGGGCACATGTAAGTTACATGTAGAAGTGACCCAAATGCCATAGTCTCCCCACCTTGGCTCACCTCTCTTGGCTTCATGACTCATTTCCTACAATCAGATGACACAAAGAGAGAAAACTTGGGTTTGATTTATGGATGATTCTTGTTAGAGTTTTGATTACTTGGCCCAGAACTCTTCTGCTTATATAGATCAAGTAAGACTGGAGTACTTCCTATCTCTTTCTCTTCTAGGAATGTCATGATAAATTAGTCAATCCTTAGGTCTCTTGAATCAGTCCATTGTGATTCTGCCATGACTCTGTTGTCCCTTGAGGTGACCATGCCTATCTTGCCTTTGGTAAATAAGAGCATCACTTGGCTCTGCTATCCTAGGGCCCAATTAACCCCCACTGCACAATTTGATGGTAGCAGTTCCCCTATAGCAGGACATAATGGATGTGAATTTCCAAATTAAAAAAAATTTTGCTGAAGATATTTTGAAAGTTAAAACTATGTTATCCTACTTCTAGTAGTTAAAGAGCATTCCAATTTGTATTCTTGCTAATGTTTTCTCCTTTTTTTCTAATTAAAAAATTATCCTTTCTGATATGTATATATAATGTATAGTATATGATAGTTTTAATTTGTATTTTCCTATTTATTAATTGTATTCAATATTTTCACATTATCTGTTGGCCATTTGGGTAGACTCTTTCATGGAGTGCCCATTCAAATGCTCTCTCCATTTTTCTTTTTTTTCTTTTTTTAAAGATTTATTTATTTATGCCTACAAGAACTGAGCTACAGGCCACAGGTACCGGGGTTGAGAGGATTCACCACAGACAGAGTAGGGAGCAGACCAGGCAGATTGACTAAAATACACTGCTGAGGGGAGCAGTGCGTGACAGGAGAGGTCTGCTGTGCCATGTAGGTTAACTCCCTGGCCCGGGATCAAACTCGTGTTTGATCATAGTGCTGTGACTTAACCCCTTGTGCCACCAGGGAGGCCATCTTCTCCATTTTTCCTTCTTAAAAATTGACTTGTTAAGATTTAAAATTATATATTCTAATTTGGGGAGACAATTGACTTTACAAATAAGTTTGAGGTGATGAAAATAATGTTTAAATCAACAAGTCAATGGTAAAATAAGAAAGCTTACATTTCAAGCTACACCATACACAAACTTTCTATATACTATTTCTACTGTGTCTTCAGGGCTGTGGGCTTACAGAAAGCATTACATAAAGGACATAGCAATCTTTGTGAAAGTTAGGATTTCAGCACTGAACAATTATATAATTTTGGGCAACATAATAACTGGCAACATAATAACTGGCAATATTAGATAAATACTTTATTTCAGGCATTAATGCTAATGCATTTACTTGTATTACAATCTTCCTGGTCAGTAAGGAAGATGAGGAGATGAGCTGAGAAACATTAAGAAACTATCCTCCATGAAAGATACTAATAATTATAGTTTTGTGATTTAAACATAGATCTCTCTACTTCAAAACTCATGCTTATTAAAAATAAAATTATGTATTCTAAATCCAAGTTCATTCCTACACATGTACATGTTTTTAATAAGTCAATTATCTGTCATCCATACAAGAATAGGACTGGTTGAAGATTCTCTGCCCTATCCCTTTGGTATATTTGGCCATCGTGGCAGAAAAACAAAATGCTGTAGTTTTGTAAGAAATGTCGTTATCAACTAGAGAAAAATCTTCCTGTTATTTTTCTTCAACATTATCCTCAAAATTTTTGGCATCTTGCATTTCCAAATAAAATTTAGAATTAGGTTAAAATTTTCATACAAAGGAAATAAGCTAGCATTATTTATTGAGATTATATTGGAGAGACCGGACTTCCTTAACTTTAATTTTTAATTTGAAGTCCAAGTCTGAAATCTATTAATCCAAGTCTTTAATTATTTATTTAGGTGTCAATAACTTTTCTTTAGATAAGTGAAATAGCTTTGCACATTTTTCATTTGACTTATCCCTAAAAAATTGATGTATTTGATGCTATTTTGAATTAGGTTTTTTTTTTTTTTTTAAGATTTATTTATTTATGCATACAAGCACTGGGGTACAGGCCAGAGGTTCGGGGGGTGAGCGGATTCACCAGGGACAGAGTGGGGAACAGAACAGGCAGATCGACGAGAATACACTACTGAGGGGAGCAGCGGGCGAGACAGGAGAGGTCCGCTGGGCCATGTGGGTTGCTCCCTAGCCGGGGATAGAACTCATGCTGCAGGGGCTGCGGACAGCTTCATAGGTTGCGTCTTAACCTCTGTGCCAGCAGGGAGGCCCTGAATTAGTTTTCTTAAATCATATCTTCTAATGTTTATTGAGGTGTGAAGTAATACATTTGAGTTCCTGATGATTTTGCTAAATTCGAATAGTTTATCTGTTTATCATTTTGGATTTTTGGCATGCATTATTATGTCAGCTGCAAATAACTTTTGTTTTCTTTCCTAATCATTGTACCTTTTCTTTATTTCATTTATTTGTTTGTTGCATTACCATACTGGCTAGAATACTTTACAATGTTAATTTTAAGTGGTTAGGGTGGCTCCTTGTCTGTTTCCCTATCTTAGAAGGATAGAGTTCTTTTACTGTGAAGTATGGTGTTTGCTATAGGATTGTTGGTACTCTTTATTTTTAAAATTTTTTTTTTGTTATATCCAAAAGGCAGGTTTATATAAAAAGGGAGAGGACAGTAAAGTACACTTGTATAGACACAAGCCCTGCAAGAGATGGGTTTGCTAAAAGGGAGGCCTGCATAGGCACAGGCGGGTAGTCTTGGGAAGACAGCTGCCTCTGCTGCTTTGCAAAAGGAGAAGGTCAGTGAAGAGAAGCACCTGCATGGTCGCAGGTGGGCAGGAGGCTGCTGCTGCTGCTGCTGCTTTGCAGCGGTTAGATGCTGGCAACAACGAACACCAACACAGGCACAGGTAGGCAGGAAAGTTGCTGCTGGTACTCTTTATTTTTTTTTTTTTTTTTAATTTTCTAGAGGCATGTCTTATTTATTTATTTATTATTTGTTTGTTTGTTTGGTTTATACATGCACTGGGTACAGTCAGAAGCGCGGGAGGGTGAGAGAATTCACCAGAGCCAGAGCGGGGAGCAGAGCAGGCAGAAGGACAGAAGTACACTGCTGAGGGGAGCAGCGGGCAGCAGGAGAGGTCTGCGCACCATGTGGGACCCTCCTCCGGTGGCCGGGGAGCAGCGGGGATCGAACCGGCTGCAGAGGCTGCAGGCAGCTTCGCAACTCAGCGCTCAACCGCTGCGCCACCGGGGAGGCCCTGGTACTCTTTATTTTATTAAAGAAGTTCTTTTCTGCTAGTAGTTTGCAGAAAGTATTGACCCTGGATACATTTCCCTGTATATTTTCCTATGACTATATGTTTTTCCCCTTTATTATAAAATGAAATGAATTGTTATTACTTTTGAATGTTAAAACAACCTGTGTTCTTGGACTAAAACCAATTGATTTGGAGTGAATTACCATTTTTACATAACTTGGATTTGATTTTTAAACTTTTTTGTTTAGGATTTTTATGTTTTTTATTCTTCTTCTTCTGTGTTTTTTAGAAGTATTGACTATCCATATTACTTGCTTTTATTACAACTTCCCCAGAACAACAATAATTCATTCTTTTTCCTAATAGATCTTTTTGTATGAATGAAAATATTCTCACCAGCAATTCACTGAATTGTATCCCCTCAAATTCCCTCAAAATTCATGTTGAAAGGTCATGTTGAAAGGTCAACCCCCAGAGTGCTGTATGTGGAGAGAGGGTATTTATGAGATAATGAAAATTAAATGAAGTCATAAGAGTGGGGCCTTAATGCAATAGAACTGGTGTCCTTATAAGAAGAGGCATCTTGGGCCTCCCTGATGGTGCAAGGGGTTGAGCACAGCACTATGAAGCTATCCACAGCCTCTGCAGAATGAGTTTGATCCCCCGGCCAGGGAGCTACCCACATGGTACAGCAGACCATTCCTGTCTTGCCTGCTGCTCCCCTTGGCAGTGTACTTCAGTCAGTCTGCCTGTTTTGTTCCCACTCTGTCTCTGGTGAATCCTCTCACCCCCGCCCCCACCCCCACACCTCTGGCCTGTACCCCAGAGCTCTTGTATGCATAAAATAAATAAAAAAAAGAAGAGGAATCTCTGTCTGTCTCTCTTTCCCCCCAGTCCATCTCCCCTGCCCGCTTTGCCTGTACAGAGGAAAGGCCATTTGAGAACAGAGTGACAAACAGCTATCTATAAACCAGGAAGAGAGCTTTCATCAGAGATCGATTTTCTGGCACTTGATGATGAAATTTAGCCTCCAGATCCATGATAAAATAAACGTTTGTTGGTTAAATTACCAAGCCTGTAGTATTTGTTTTGTTATAGCAGCCTGAGCAGACTAAGACATTGCCTATATCCCATGAGGAGTGACATAAAATCCCACCCATTACATATCTTTCTCTGGGTGTTGTTAATTATTTTTCTAGCTAGCTTATTTACAGTCCAACCTGAATATTTTATAATGCAATGACTAAATTATAAAGTTAACAACTATGAAAGTTCTTTATACCAAGTAATAAAGTTAAGGAAGATGATGGAAAAAAAAAATTTAAAAATGTAAATTAATGCACTACATGCATTTGCCTAGCTGCTACAATCCTCATTTCTATTACTGGATGCAAGGCTATAGTTTATACTTATAACTTCATTTTTCCACCTTCCAATTCCATGGTTC